CCCGGCGCCGAATCCCATTGAGGCAACCCGGGGCGCAGCCCGCTGGGGGCGTCTCCCGCCCCGCCCAGCCCCGCGCTCCGGCCCCGAAAGGAGGAAGTCACGCTCGCCGGCGGCAACTGTCCTCCAGGCGGGAGGCGTACCGGGCGCTCCCTACTTCACACTCCCCTTTTCCTTCGCCCCTCCTCCTCCAGTGCACGTGAACTTGGGAGCCTGGAGGACGCCTGGCCTTGAGACCTGCCGGAGCCCGAGCCACACTGTCTGGCCCGAAGTGCCTGAGCGTGCGATGGGCGTGCCAAAAAGGTGTGGACTTGCCAGTGATAGCAGCCTTGAGGGACTCGAGATGTTGTAATGATAGGATGATGATGATGGTAATTCAAGCTCCTCCGCTCGTTCATTCAAAAGTTAAGATCCAGCAGTGCGCCTGCCAAACACGGTGCTAAACCCTTGTGACACTAGCAAACGTTAAAATTAATGAGGCACGTATATAATGCAATTTGCAATCGGCGACATGAGGAGTGCTAGTGGAGCACATTCAGGGAGATCTAATTAGATGGCGGTTGAGGAATCAGCTTGGAAAGGCCTCACTTAAAAAGTGACATCTAAGCTGAGACTCAGAGGGTGAGTGGGACTTGGGAAAGCGAAAGGAGGGGGACAAAAGAACAGACACGGTGTGCCATACGGTTGCGGGAGGAAAGGGCCAGCCAGGGTGGCTGCAGCAGGGTGAACAGGTGGGACGCATGTCCAGACGTGGAAGCCCGCGCACAGAGCCGGGGCCGGAACGAGGATAGCCTGCAGGGCCACCTGAAGGATGTTTAACTTGATTCTTGGAGCAATGAGCAACCACGGAAGGTTCAGATCGAGAAGTGACAGGATCTGATTCTCTGGGCGGGCGTGTGGAGAAGGGCTTAGGGGAGAGCGAGTTGAAAGAGTAGAGAATTACAAGACTATTTTTTTATTACAGAGTAGTTGAATAGGTAAGTGGCAGAGGAAATGAACAAGGAGAGATTAAATATATATTTCAAAGACTCTTCGATATCTCCAGGCCGCTTGCAGTTCTCCCGCGCTTCCTCTGCTCGCTGCGAAAACCTTCGCACCACGACTCCGGGCCCTGCAGTTTTCCCTGCTAACGCGCAACCGCGGTTACACCTGCAGGTGAGGAGAGGAGGAAGAACTGGAGGCCAGGAGGAAACAGCACTCCAAGGTCCAATATTGGCCTGTCACGTGCTCCTCCGGTACCGGATAGACTTCTTTCACACATGCATTGCTTTCTCCCTCTTTATTTTTCTAATGTCTTTATTTTTTAACTAAGTAAAAACGTTGTTGAAATTTCAAGTGAGATTATTGTGGGGGCTTTGCTCTCTTGAAAACAGCAGAACTTAGAGGAAAAAACTTGGGCTTTAGAAATGAGGCTGATCCAAGTCTGATTCACTCATCAGCCACTGACTTGGGCCTCGTTTTCTTTGGGGAGTATAATAGCTAACTTTCCTGGCTGTCACAGAGACGAAATAAAATATGTATATAAAATTTGAGCATGTAAGAGGTACTCAATAATTAGAAGGCTTATCCTATTTGTATTGAAAGTAAATTCACAACCATGAAAATATTGAATATTCTCACATACAATACATAAAAAGATACTTTGACACGTTGAATCACTTCCTAAATCCAGCTCTCCCTGTTTCTTCATTCTCTTCATTCTTTCTAGGAAGGTGAGTTTGGGCAACTGTTACTGGTATCTGACAGGTGTGGCTCTGTGAGCAATGAAGAAAGACAATGGGAGCATTGATTATTAACAAGGAATTCACAGGGTGAGGCAGGTGGGCTCCCTGGGCCGACCTTTTCCATTTCAGGTAATGCCTTGATAGGAATGAAGTAATCTAGTCTACACCAGAATCCTGAGCCAGATGAGGGGAGAGATTTAGGATCTGGTAACAATGAGAAAATAAAAAGGCCAGTTGTATCCTCGAGCTTTCATTATGCCATTCCTTCTTTGAAAAATAGAAGGAAACCTCTAGTTAAAAGGATAGTAAAAGAAAAATATGAAAATATAAGATTATCAATTATATATTTTGTATATAAAATAAATAAGCCTGATTGAATTGATATACTGTACTTCAGCTGCATAGATTTTTATATTAAGTATATGTGTTTGTTTTATTCTGGAGATTTCATTTTGATTTTTTCTTTTATAATGCATTGTATGCGATTCCATTAAATATAGAAATGTTAGAATCCATCCACAACATCTCACTTACTAAAATTAAAGAACTGCATATCATGTGGAACAACTCTGGAAAGGTCTCTCACAAGGTTATTTCACATTTTACCCCTCCCCACTTACCATCCAGTCTTTCTCTATTTTGCATCTCTCACTGCAATTTTATGCTTATATTTGCTAGCTCTTCTGTAAAAATAGAAAACAGCTGGTCAGGGCTACCTTATTTTAGGTATAAAATATGTATTCTGTGTTGCTTAGGTAAGATAGAATTTAAGCAGATCTGCAAGCCTAGTATTCTACAGCGGTTAGAAAACTTCAGACTATAGTTCAATTTGACAGCATAATCAATTTTATCTTTAACATCTAGTAATCCTAATTGTGAGTCTCTAAAGAAGACCAAATGAGATATAAATTTGAAATCCTTATAGGTTTCTACTTCCTAAATACTCTCCCTTTTCCAGTTCAATTCATAAATATATTTTAAACATTTTCTTTATGTGAAACAATGTAATGGAGATACAATGAAAACAAATTTAGGTACCTTTCTCTCTCCCTCATTCATGATCTAAGGATAGAAATTTGAGAAAAGTAATATAGGTTGATAGGTACAATGATAGAAGTGGTTTGGGTAGTTATGGAATCACAGAGGAAGGGTAGAGAATTGTATTTCAAAAGGCTGGAAGAGTGTGGGAAAGGTGAACTGGGAATTAGAAGGAGAATGTTTGTCTGATAAGGAGAAGAACTTGTGAGAAAGCTCAGAAATAGAGATCACAGGTCACTTGTAAGAATTGAGCCCAATTTATCAGTGTAGGAACAGTGAGCTTGATACAGGAGTGGGGGCAAGAAAGCAGAGTGGGCGGCAGAACAGGATCTGAACACTGGGAAACAGGAAAAGGGAGAATCTTGATCAGATTTGCATTTTAGAAAGATCATGCCGGCAGTAGGGTGGAGAATGGTTTGAAAAGAGAAGCAGGGAAACTGATTATGAGTTTGTGGCAATACTCCAAAACTAGAGATAATGCATCTTACCTCTCATGCTAAAGAGGGGATCCCTGGACCAGCAGCATCTGCAATACCTGGGAGCTTTCTAGAAATGCAAACTCCTGTTCCTACCCATGCCAAGACCGCTGAACCAAAATCTGCATCTTAATAAGATCCCCAGCTCAGGATAAAGCTATGGGTAGATCTAAGATATAGAGGATAGAAACACAGACACGATTGAGTCTTAGGATATAGACAGTGGGAGAGAATATTAAATTTTGAATACAACAGCCAAAATAATTTGTATTACCCACATTACTTCCTTATCTCTAACCCCCTAAGGGCTTTTCAAATACTGATTGCTGATGTTCATTAGGTAGCTGTGTCATCTAAGGTCCAGCAGAGATTCTTAAATGTTATTGTTTACTGTGGCCGGATCTCACCATCTGGTCCTCTTTTTTGTGACCCCAGAAACGATTTTCGTCAATATGCTTGACCTTGAGGATACTGCTCCATGATTAACTTAAGCACGGAAGTATATAAACCAGCATCGATGCCAATGTAGTAATTAACAGTGAGAGCTATAAAATGATGAACATTCTCTTCAGCCTGAAAACAACTTTGGGAGCTAGAATTGATCAGATATCAAATTGATCAGATATCATGAAAGAAAAGCAAGGCTGATTATTTGAGTGGTTCCAATGAATGTTTGAAGGCAACAAAATAAGAGTACTGGATTCTTCCCACTCTTCACCCCTGTTAAAGTAAAAAATTATCCTGACACTAATTAAAATGGTAAGGAAGACTTTATTTGTGACTACTACAATAAGGGTCAAGACTATGGCAACAGAGGAGAGAGATCAGGCTTAATTCTAAAAACAGCAAAGGCAGCCAGGGATTTCCAGCCAAGGAGGAGAGTGAGGAAGAGAGGAGACAGTAAGTATAGGGGGATTCTTGTTAAACCCACTTCTTAGGATTCTTGCTGAAGACATGTGAAGGACTTATACATCAAAGGTGGAAGATGAGGAACTCAATCAGATATCAAGAGTGATCAGATATCAAAGTCAGGTCTTCCTCTAAACTGACTTAACAGGATTCTTGCTAAAACTGAACTAAGCAAGCTGAAGAGGGCCCGAGGATGAGGCCTGGTCAAAAAGGGAGCTCAGAGGAGCCTGACTTTAATTAAAAAGAGTGTCACACCCACATGGATATTTCTGTCACTAGCACTAAACAGCTAGAATCAGCAGATCAAATCCTCTCCCAGGGACAGAGCTTAGCAGAACACTGTCAACACTTGCCTCTTAAACTGGCCTTTCTCTAATTTCCTTTTTTCCTTATATATGTTAATGTGATAATTTCTCCTGCCTAGGTTTTCTCCCATGTTCTCTTAATCTGTTTCCATTCATTATTTATTGATTTATGGTGTAACTTTCAAGGGGCAAACCTATTTTCAAGTTCTGCTTGCTCTCAATACATTTATGTAGTTTAAAAAAAGTTTTAGAACAATTCTAGGACAGCTATTTCCTAATTGTGTCCCCAAGAAACATGTTTGTTCCAACTGGGAGATTTACAGAGCACACTAAACTATGAAGCAAAGAAACTTATTTAATGAATCAAATGTTTGTCGATGTATTTGAAATTTGATTTTTGTTTTCTGTGGTGTGTGGGGGGGAGGTAGTAACTTGCATAGTTTTTATTTTGTTTTCTTTATTAATTTTTTTAAGTTTTCAATTATAACTGAGATTTAATATTATTTTATATTAGTTTCAGGTGTATAGCATAGTGGTCAGACACTTATATAATTTACGAAGTGATCCCCCTGACTAGGCTAGTACCCACCTGGCACCATACACAGCTATTACCATATTATAGACTATATTTCCTATGCTTTCCCTTATATCCTTGTGACTATTTTATAACTACCAATTGTTCTACATACTCACGTCATCTTTTTTCTCCCAGCCTCCCAATCTCCCTCCCATCTGGCAACCATTAGTTTGTTTTCCGTATCCATGAGTCTGTTTCTATTTTGTTTGTTAATTTATATTGTTATTTAGGTTCCACATATAAGTGAAATCATATAGTATTTGTCTTTCTCCGTCGGACTTATTTCACTTAGCATAATACTCTCTAGGTCCATCCATGTTGTTGCAAATGGTAAGATTTCATTGTAAATATGTACTATAACTTCTTTATCCAGTCATCTATTAATGGGCACTTAGGTTCCTTCCATATGTTGGCTATTGTAAATAACACTGCAGTGAACATGGGGTATATATACCTTTTCGAATTAGTGTATTGGTTTTCTTCAGGTAAATACCCAGAAGTAGAATTGCTGGGTCATAAGGTAGTTCTATTTTTAACTTTCTTAGATACCTCCAAACTGTTTTTCATAGTGGCTGTATCCATTTGCAATCCCACCATCAGTGCATGAAAGTTCCATTTTCTCCACATCCTCACCAACACTTGCTGTTTTTGATATATTGATGATAGCCATTCTGACAGGTATGAGGTGATATCTCATTGTGATTTTAATTTGCATTTCTCTGATTAGTGATTAGTGATGTTGAGCATTTTTTCATATGTCTATTGGCCATTTGTATATACTCTTTGGAGAAATACCTAGTTCAGGTCCTCTGCCTATTTTTTAACTGGATTGTTTGTTTTTGTTGTTGAGTTGTATGAGTTCTTTATATATTTTGGATATTAACCTCTTATCAGATTTATCATAGTCAAATATCTTCTCTCATTCAGTGGGTTGTCTTTTTGTTTTGCTGATGGTTTCCTTTGCTGTGCAAATACTTTTTAGTTTGATATAGTCCCATTTGTTTATTTTTTCTTTTGTTTCCCTTGTCTGAGGACATATATCCAAAAAGAAATTATCGTTAGCAATGTCAGAGCATTTACTACCTGTGTTTTATTCTAGGAGTTTTATGGTTTCAGGTCTTATATT